CTGCATACCTGTCTCTGTGTTCCGCGGAGCCCTGGGCTACGGCGGATGCTGATGGCGCGGACGGCACCTCCCAGCCGGCCAGACCCGGCAGAACTCTCGGTCCTGCCTTGCTCTCTGCTCTTCCCGCCTCCTTTCCTGGCACATCAGACTGTCACTCAGGCTGATTAATGACTCCAGGACCCTTCCCAGCCTTCTCCCTCATGGCCTGAACCACCCAGTGACAGATTCCTTCAGCTCTACCTTCAAAGTGTGTTTTCAGTTCTTGGCTTCTACCACGATCACCCTATGCTCAGCCTCCAGCTTCTCTTGCGTGTGCTACACCGTAGCCTCGTGCGGTGGGCCAATCGCAGAAACGGCTGCTGTCCTTCACTCTTCCCTGCGGCCCAGAGCTTTGCAAGGGATTCTGTCTCTCCTTCTCTCTGTAATCTAAGCTGATTTTGGGACTTGCGTGGGCCGCTGTGGACTAGAGCAAGGTGAGAGGGGCCATGTGCCAGTTCTGAGCCCAGGCCTCGAGAGATCTTTGCATGTCCTGGTACGCTGCGTTCACCATGAGATCCAGCCCGACTTAGCCTGTTGTTGGAGGATGACCTGCATGGAGCAGAAACCAGCCAGTCCCCAGCTAACCCACTACCTCACTACTGACACATGAGCCCAGCTGAGGTCAGCGGAGCCTGTCCAAGATCAGCAGAGCTGCTCAACTGACTGTGGACTCATGAGAAGTTGTGTTGTTTTAAACTATATTATGATAAATGTTCAGGGTCCGCTTATGAGTGAGGACATGTAGTACTCAGATCTTTGTTTCTGTGGCAGATCACTGAGTTTTATAGACTTAAATCCATCCAAGTTGCTGCGAAGTCCATAATTTTGTTTTTCTTTATGACTGCGTGATATTTCATCGTGTATATGTACCACATTTTCTTTACCCAGTTCACTTTCAATGGATACTATAAGAAAGGGAATGGCAGTAGTGGGACACTGCCTGGAGGGGTGGGGAGTACAGTAAGAGTACTCAATCTCAAACCAGGCAAAGTAGGGACCAAGGGGAGGCCAAAACTTCACTTGTATGATGACCACTTATGTATCTAACTCTGAATTGTACCCCACATCTTTAAAATAAAAACACTTTGGGAGGCTGAGGTGAGTGGATTGCCTGAGCCCGCGGGTTCGAGACCCGCCTGGGCAGCGAGACCTCATCTCTACAATAAATCAAAAAATCAGCTGGGCGTGGTAGCGCGCCTGTAATGCCGACTACTCGGAAGGCTGGGGCGGAAGGATCGCCAGAGTCCAGCAGGTCGAGGCCACTGCACTCCAGTCTGGGTGACTCCAACTCAAAATAAATAAATAAATAAATAAATAAATAAATAAATAAATACACAAACAAACTATATTTTGGGGATAATTTGTTACACAGCCACAGCTAACTGATAGACCTCTTTAATGCATCTCTAGGCTTTCCTTCCCTTCTCAGAATATTTTCTCCTCTCAGAAACTGGAGGGCTCTCTCCTCTATTATCACCTTCCATTTTGGTTTCCTGTTGCAACTAGACTGAGCCCCAAACTCTGGGCCATGGCTTCCAAGGCCTGGCTTGACCAGTTTCCCCAACCTTCCCCTTTCCTGACTCTGCTGCAGCTACATGGACCTTCCTTCAAGTCCCATGAACACGCCTGTCCTTTTGCTGTCCCCTCCACTGGAACAATCCCTCTTGGATCTGCACATGGCTGCCTCCCTCAAGTATCAACTCTGACATTCCCCAAGAGGCCTGCCCTCACCACGCTAATGCCATCCTTGCCTACCCTTTGCCCAGGTGTCTTCTTCCATTCCACCCTGTTTAAATCTTCTCATTACTTGCAAATCATCTTTTGCTGACATGCATGCCATTTGTCTCTCCAACTTGGAATGTAAACTCCATGAAGGACAAGAATGTGTGTTTTTGTCCATCGCTGCATCCCTGGTCGTTATAACAGTTTCTGGCACATAGTAGTTGCTTGATAAATATTTGCTCTGTGAATGAATGACAGCCCCAAAGAGGAAACACCTGCGCAAAGCAGCTTACAAATGCTTTGCGCTTGGTATCTCTTGCCACTGTGCACCCTGTTAACTGTCCCGCTAGTCCAGACCAAGCTGCCTGCTGGTTCTCCCACATGCCATGCTGTCCCTGCCTATTTCTCTGCCTGCCTTCCTCCTGCACAAAGATCCTGGCAATCCCTATGCATCCTTAAAAGTTTTGCAGTAGAAGTCTCTTATTTCAAGAAACTTTCTATCCTCCCTGTTCCCAGCCCGTGGTGTGGGTCTTCCTCCCCGGTCCTCTCATGAATTTGGAATCCCTTCACTGTACTTCTTCACTGTGCTTCGATTCACTGGTTACTCCCCGTCTTCAGGACCGTAAGCCCCACATGGCCAGGACAAAGTCTTCCTAACAACTGCATCCCTGGTACGCCCGTAGGGCCTGGTGGGCACTCAGCAGCTCTGTAGTGGATGAGCATCAGGGTGGGTTGTAGAGGACCAGAAGCCAATGGCTTAGGTGGTCTCCAGATCTGCTCTCTCCGACTCTCATGCATCTAAACCTGTGAAAGGGAAAAGTGGATGTGGGCTGGGTTGGAGACGCTGAGGGCGGATGTCATGGAGACAGTGGAGTGCTGGGATTTCAAATGTTACTGCCCATCATCCCGAACACTCCTCCTCCGAGGGAGGAGGGCTCCGATTAGGACTGGGATGTTGGCACCTCCCCTGGCTTCTTTGTGTCATTAAAAGGGCTAGCCTTCCCTCTCCCTGAACACCTCCCTGGGGGTTCTGGTGAGCCGTGGAAGAATGGAACTGATGTATGTATGACTCTAGCTCTGCAGGAAAGGATCCAGGGGTCTTAGTGGACCACAGCAAGCAGTCACATAATACAATTGATGGAGGGAAAGAAAGTAAATGAATAAATAAGATCTATATGTCACCTTGAAGTCAGTCCTTATTACAGGCAATGAGAAAGAAATTCAGCCACATGCCTTATTCTGGGTCCATTTTTTGTTATTGCATTTTAAAGAGGGAAGTGGTCAAGATAGAGGAGAGATACTCAAACTAAATAATATGACAAAACTGAAAAAAAATACAAGTCTGAAGATGAAAGGGTTAAGTGGTCATCATCACATTACATTGCTACGGTTTATATGCCTGACATTTAACTTCCCAGGCCCATTTTATCTGTTGTTCAATTTGTTCCTCATCACTCGTTCTCCCTGAATGTGAATATTTACTAGACGATGAAGGCTGACTTTTTTTCTCCTTTCCCAGTGACTTGAAAGAAAGGAAACAGGTTCACACTGCCCCAAGAGAGGGGCATATTTGATGGAAGAGGACTTCCTAGAGGCGAGGATATCAGGGCAGGTCCACGACTGGCTGGGCCACCCCGACTGCTGGATCTATCATGCCGAAGTGCCCGCCTCTGAGGATGACTGTGGGTGTTCGTTGACTGAGGTAACATTGGCAAAGTGCCTGACCCTTGGTGATGCTCAAAAAATATGCTCCCTTCCCCCTTCTGAAGAGCGATTTCTCCCAACGAGACAGGCATTTACTAGAGACGGAGAGTGTCACTCAGACACAAGCGGCCAGTTGCTGGGGACCAGGTTGGGGCCTGGCTGTGCTCTAGCTACCTCCTCCACTCACTGGCTCCTCTGTGGGGCACCTGTTCCTTACTGGTCATGTACCCCTGAAGGGGGCTGGCATGGGCCTGGCAGCCTCCAGCACTCCTCTCTGAGCCCCAAAGGCCGCGATTCCAGGTGGAGAGAGCCACTCACCTCCGATGGAATCACCTTAAACCTCAGGGTGAGTGGGGACAGGTAAAAAGCACATGAGGGAGTATCCTGATGTTTTAGCACATGGAGTCAAGAGTGATACCTGCTCCCTGGGCCTGGCCAGAGCAGTGGCTGCACGACTGTGATCTTCATAGTGTCCTGCCTGCTGGGATATGCACTAGCTCTTAGGGCTCAGGGACCATTAGATGTTGGGCTTACCATGAGGTGACATGAATCTGGTATCAGCAGCTTTTCAGCAGGGCTTGAGTGCCCAGTTTTGAGGATGCCTTTTGTAACAGCAGGGGCTGGGAAGTGAGTTGCTCATCTACCCTGGGGACTGTGAGAGCAGCTCACATTTTTGGGGGTTCTTAGGCACCAGCGACTGCACTTCACGCTTCACAGGCAAGCTCTCACTCACTCTTCACAGCATCCCTGAGCGGCACATACTATCGTTAGTCCCATTTGACAGGCAAGGAATCAGAGGCACAGCAAGGTAGAGTAACTTGCCTAAAGTCACACACTAGTAAGTGGGACAGCTGGGCATCTAACCTACTGGCGATAGACAGGCATGGGTTTGTACTTCTGATGGAACACATGCCAGGGTGGGTAGGTCCTGTCTCTGAACAGTCCCATGGTATTCGCCACAGCCATCAAAGAAGGCAGAGCAGGGGACTCAGGGCGGTCACTGTTTCCATCCTAGTTCTGCCATTCTTACCTGTGTGACTCTGAGCAAGTGTCTTGCCCTTTATGACTTCCCTTATTCAAGTGATAATGAGGTCCTGGACTTATTGCTATTGAGGCATCTGCAAGCTCTGAAAGTGTTCCTGCCCCCCTAGGGAGCCTATGGTTGCAAGCGCCCAAGGGTTCCCCTCCTTGCTTCTGTGTGCTGATGGTCCTCCCCCCTCATTGCTTGATCAGCTCCCCGCTCTCCACAGAAGGGGCCAGCTCCCCAACAGAGCCTGGGCCTGCTCGGGGGTTGGGGAGGGTATATGTCCTCAGCCAGCCTCTCAACCTGAAGTCCATCTGGGGACTCTGGGCCCCCTTTTCTCATGCCTTCTGAGACTTCCTCTCTAAGAAGCCCCTTAAAGTCTTCTTTTGGTGGGGAGAAAATTTCTCCTAAGTCAGCTCTGATGTGGACATCAAGCACAAAGCTTACATCGACTCAGGGATGCATGCAGTCTAGGCTTGTTTTCTGATTGTTCCTGTCTGAAGGGGATGCACTAAGTCTGAAGGGCCACTTGTGGTGCATTAGAGGGTGACCCCCGGGATGACATCAGAGGAACCACATTGGAGATCTGGGCGAACACCTTCTTTGCATCGATATCCCCTTCGACCATGTGGGGGTGGATGTCCACGGTCAGTCCTGCGTCCTTGCATAGCTTGAGCAAGGTCCGAATATTGTTCTTGGACAGCCTCAGGTATCTGCGTGAGAGAAGGCCAAGGTCAGCCGGAGGCGGAGCCACGATAGCTTCTGACTTTACTGAAGAGAGTTTAGATTTGAACAGCATTAAGTGTGGGTTCTCTGCAAGGGACTGGCTGACAGAGACCTTATAAGACAGTGGTGGTGGGAGTTTATACTGGTACAACTCCTCTGGCACTCTGGAAATCAGTTCTCTCCAAAGGAAAAAACATTCATTATATGGGTTTAGTGACTCCACTTAGGTTCTCAACTTATCTCAAGAAGAGAAGTCAGTGGAAAGAAAAGCTACATGGATAAAAGATATCCGATTTGGGGTCATCAACAACAAATGAGTAATTTCATTCACAGAGGAATGGTTAGGCAGAGAATGGAAAAATCCCATTTCAAAGACTCTTAACTAAAATGCCATAATTACATGGCATTAGGAGGAAGAAGGTGCACCATGGCTGTGACAATATGCCACGTGGGGCAGAAAAACAGAATGTGAATTGTCATGTGTCTCATCACTGTCACATGAGCACACTCTGAGAGGTGCCAACAGCTGGGAAAATACAGGACAGTGGAAATAACAGCTAAGCAAAGTTGTAGGAATGGAGGTGAGTATTTTCTTTTAATCATAATATCCAAACAATCACAAAATCAGGCCATTGATTTAAAATATTAACCTCATCATTTTGATGGATACTGAAGAATGGGACTGATCCCATTTGTATTGTGTGGTCCGGAGTACCTCTGCCATTCTGTCCAGAGAGCTCCTATTCCACCATGAACCCAGACCCAGGCCCTAGCTTTAATACAGGGAGTGGCCCCTACTCAGGTCACCAGCGGCTGGCTACTTTGCTATGGATGATGGGCGAGGAGATGCGTATTGATGTTGCCTGGTTTTCTGCCTGTTGGAACGGCCACCCTTCTCCTTCTGGATCTTCCCAGAGCCTACCTGCTCTTATGGCCAACTCAGACCCCATCACCACTTCTCACACCTAGACTACCTTTCCTCTGATGACTCCAGCTGCAGTTCATGCCTTCCTCCCTGAAAACCAGCCCAGCCTCCGAGGATATGTCCCCTGGGCACTCATCATGATCCCATCCTGAACAGTTTCATCCTGTTCTTGGATGTGTTTCAAGTGGCTTCATATGCCATTTTTCCATATATGATTTCCCCTTCCAGTCCAAATCCCCCCCCACCCCTGTGGAGCCCAGGTAGGCTGTCTGTTGGCCAGACTACCCTGCCAATCTGAAAGCCATAGACAAAGTCATCCAGTCACTGAACGAGCCAGTCAGTGCTGTTAGTCAGGGTCTCCGCCTGTTTGTTTTAAGCCAGTTAACCATTCTACCCTCCATCCCTCAGCCAATCGATGAGCAGAGCAAGACTTTGCAAGGGGCCATTGGCTTGCCAGGCATTTGAGGCCTTTTAAACCTATAGATGAGTTTACTGCTATCAGATTTACAAGGATGACCATGGCTACATTATTCTGTTTTTTCTATTTCTCTGCTGAAGTTTCTGAACTTTGTTAGTTACATCTCTCCAGTAAAGGATAACACTGGACTAGGAAGGGGGATACTTGGATTTTGTGGGGGCGTGGGGGGGAACCAGGCTGTTTGGTGTTGCAGAAAACCAGCAGGTCCTCATAAATAGTAGAGAGTGGGTAAGAAGGGTGATGCGTTGGTAAAAGCAGTAGATATTAAATATCAATATCACTCTGTGTTTAGATCTTTTTGAGGTCTGAAACTCCAAACACACAGAAGGCAGCCACTGAGGATGATGGCCACCGTCCCCAGCAACTTACTACCATTATGCAAGGGATTTTAGGGGAATTTCCTTTTTAAAAAAGGCCACAGACAACTCATTCTTTCAGTTTTGAATAATACATGTGGTTTCCATTGTGAAGAAAATGGAAATATTGGAAGGATAGTCCAAAGGTGTCATGTCAAAATGGCAGGACCAAAATGACATGCCATACAGGGGATGGTCCTCTGGTGGGTGGGCTGCTGGAAACCCAATGACTTCGGCCCCAGAGCAGTCCCTTGAGACTAAAGAACAGAGCTCAGCCACACTGAGCCTGCTCCTGATCTTAGACTTAGCCTACCTCCCAGCCCAAGATGCAGTGTTCCAGGCCTTTTCTCCAGGACAACCCCCATCCCTGCCAATACTCCTTACACCCCTGGGGCTGCTCACCGGCAGCTTAGCACCTCCTCTGGCCTCAGCATTTTCATGGTTTCAGTCTTGGACTCGGGGGTTTTCTCCATGAGGCTCTTTAGCTTGCGTTCATAAGCGGTGTCAGCTGTCTTACCGGACCAGTCCCTTAAGAGGGCCGTCCTCTTGTTAAAGACATTCTCCTGCTGGTTGGGATCTAAGACAGTGCTTTGTCGACGGTATGGGTTGGGCCGCAGAGTGGACTCCAGGGCGATGACATCCTTGATATCTAAGTCTGAAATTGGACAGATGTTATCAAGGTGTTAGAGTTTGAGAGAGATGGGGGACAGGGTGGACAGGAAGGGAATGAGGGCCGCAGGAGTGCACCGGCTTCAGATACACCTGTTAGGAGCCAAGAGGCTTTTCCAAGGCTTCTGCAGGATTCTCCTTCTCAGCATTGGCTTAGTTCTGATTTGTCCTTCTTTCTTCCTGGCCTCCCAACCCCCTCCCCTTTTCTCCTCCCCTCTTCTGCTTCTTTCACTCTTTCTTTCCTCCCCAGAGGGAGTTCTCCTAATGTAAATGAGTTATCCTAAAATAAATGAGGCCAGGAAGGCATTGGAGGAGGAAAGCTCTGAGCTGGGTTTTAAAGGACAAATGCTTCACCAGTTAGAAAAGGAAGGAAAAGATTGTAGGCAGAGGAACAGAATGTGCAAAGGCATGAATACAAGACATGAAATGGTGAGTGACTAATGTGACCCAAATATGGGACTTGTACTGAATAAAGTATTGTTGGACTAGAGCTTGGGGACCTTAATTTTTTGTTCTTGCTCAATTTCCTTCTAGGTATTTTACACATTTTTATTTAGGGGAATAGAATATTCTCTTCTCATTTCCATATCTAACTGGTATGACTAATATATAGACAGGTCTATTATTTTTTTAAAACCACATTTATCTAGTATACCAATAACCATAGCAAATTTTACTCCTCTTTAGAATTTTGTGAATTTTGCAGAAATGCAATCATATAAGGGAAGATGAAAGTATCTTCCTTCCAATATACATCAAAATTAGATATTCTTCTTGACATATTGCATTTGATAGACCCTCTAAAATAATGCAGTAATGAAGATAGTGGTTATGCCCATTGTGTTCCTGATTTTAATCAAAATGATTTTGGTATTGCATCATTTAGAATAATATTTGCTACTGTTTTTGGTATGTGTTTTAGAATATTTTAGCAGTTTTATTCCCAGTATACATAGAATTTTATTGGTGATAACTGCTTGATTTTATTTGTTGCTTTTTTTGTCATCTACTGAGATAATCACAAGGCTTTTCCTTTAATTTGTTAATGTAATAAATTCTGTTGTTAGATGTCCTGATATTGAACCACTTCTCACTTGCTGCAATAAATCTCATTTGTTAATTTCAGACATATATTTGATATATTTTCATACATTGAATGTATTTACTAAATTTTAAAAAGATTTTCCCATCTATATTATTGTGAAACTGGCTTAATTTTTGATATAATATTTAATATTATAATATTACTATTATGAGCTGGGCATGGTGGGTCATACCAATAATCCCAGTACTTTGGGAGGCTGAGGCAGGAGAATCACTTGAGCGCAGGAGTTTGAGACCTGCCTAGGCAACATAGCAAGACTTGTCTCTATAAAATTAAAAAAAAAAAAGACGGTGTGGTGGTGTGTGCTGGTGAATCCAGCTACTTGGAAGGATTGCCTGAGCTCAGGAGGTTGAGGTTGCAGTAAGCAGTGATCCCATCATTATATTCTAAACTGGACGACAGTGATACCTAGACTAAAAAAAAAATTAGAATCTTGTATGAAACCTTTTGTCCTAGTGCCTTTTTTTAGTGGAAAAATGTTAATTGTTTTTCACACTTCACTCTAGAAATTGCTCTATTCAACTTTTCTGCTCTTTATTGTATCATTTCTAATAATCTATAATATGATAGGAAATTATTTCAAATATGCTGTTTAGAGACAGAGTATTCTATTACAATACTTTAATTTCTTATCTTTGCTTATGTATCCTTTTCTCATATAACATCCTGCATATTTTACTTGTCTTTTAAACAAGGCTTGTGATAACTTCATATTATTTATTACTCGCTTTTAAAAATGCTATCTTTAGATTTATTCTTTTAACTACTTTTGTCTTGATTTCATTATTCTAAGCCAATATTTAACAAATTAATTCTTTTTCATAGTAATTCTTTTTTCTACTTATTAAATTAATAAAAGTGTTAGTTTTTAAAAAAAATTTTGTTTTAGAAAGATAAGAACCATCACTTTTGCTTTTAGTTTTCACTGTAAATTTTTCTTTGAGTATATATTTTGCCACTATCCTATAGGTTTTAGCATAAAAGAGGTGTATTTTCATTAGTTATTTTCTTTGTTACAGAGTAATTTAGGTGTTTGCTTCTTAATTTCCAGTTTTTAAGTTGAAACGTATCTTTTAATTTTATTTTTAATTATTGGCTTAGGATAATGTAAGTAGCTCCCAAATCTTCATTTTTTTGTGAGGGAACATGCTAACCACTACACTACAGAAACCCACTGTCGTATTTTTTTGAATTTAATATTTTCTTTGTGGTGAAGTATTCAGGAGATTTTTTGTAAATATTCTTTGACCAAAGAAAATGTGTGTTTTTATATTCAGATGTAAAGTTATGGTTTGTTAATTGCATTGTTTCATTCTTTTATGCACTTCTTGCTATTGTCTTTATCATCTATCTATTTGGTTCAAAAAGAAGCACATTAAAATTTCCCACTATAATTGTATTTTTAACAGGTTTCCTTGCATTTCTAAATGTCCTTATTTTATCTATTTAGCTAGTGTATTTTTGGGTGCATGTACATTTGTGGTTATTACCCATTCTCTTTAATATTTAAAAAACATCCTTCTTTACCCTACGTGTTTCTTTTAGCCTTAATTCCATCTCATCTGCTGGCATTTCCTTGTTGTTTCTGTGCCTGTTTTTTTTTCAACCTTTCTCTATCTTTGATTTTAAGTGTGTATCTAGATTTCGATTTTTGAATCAATTATTTTCCAATTTGGTGCCTTTGCTCTCTCTAATCCATCCCTGCAGATGGAGGGATACATGGCTAATAAATTCCTGAATATTTTTAGGTCTGCAAATATCACTCAGTCTGACAGTGCTTTGTATATAGATCTCGAGGTGGCAGGTCTTCAGTCTCTAGCTTGTATGAGCCATTCCACTTTCAGGGTGATGCCAATCTGGTTATTTTTCCTTTGTGTCTGTGAGCTTGCAAGCTTTCATTGACACCTTAGGAGTTTTACCAGGATTTGCCTAGGGGAATGAGTCTATACCTACAATTATATAAATGCAAGGACAGTGGTGTAAAGAGAGAGCATGACCTGCCCGAGGTCTCAAAATGAGTCAGTTGTTGAATTAGGACTCTTTATGCCTCGCATTGTGCCCTGGCATGGAGTTGGCCCCACAGGAGAGAGGGTCAGGCAGCCTTAGCAACAGCAGTCCCTGTTTGTGTATGGTGATAGCTGGTGTTTGATCATGAGCTGCACATCCTCTTTGACACAAATGGGGAATCCCTCAGAGAAAAGACCATAGTCTCTCCTGAAACATCTGATCCTCTCCTGTGTCAAGGTGGGTCTCATGGAGGAAAGAATAGCAGCCATATAAAATGTTATGACAATTATACAGATTAACTAACATTTGTTGGGTGACAAGCTCCAGGAGAAATTCAAGGGCTTTCCGGGGGGTGGGGACGCACTATAGACTCACAACCATGTCATATCCATTTAACAAATGAGAATGCTGAGGATCAGGGAGATCAGGGCATATGCTCAAGATGCCATAGCTAATTAGCGGAGAACCCAGATCAAGAATTTAGGTCATCAGCGTCTTTTTCTAGAAGTCTGTCCTGGCTACCTTCTTGGACAAAAGTGCCCCACATTCCTGGGTTTGTGGCTGAAAGGTAGGTTATATTTCCAGTAGGCTGTGTTTATCGTTAGTGTAAAGAAACAGAATTGATTCTTTAATATTGATTTTGCATTATACAACTTTCACTGCCAAGATTGGGGTCAAAGAGTTTTTCCCATGTTTTCTTCGAGAAGTTTTAAGGTTTCAGGTCTTTCATGAAAATCTTTAATCTACTTAGATTCAGTTTCTGTAAGAGGTGTAAAGTCGGGGATCCACTTCCACTCTTTTGCATGTACATGTCGGGTTTTCCAAACTCCATTTATTGAAGATACTATCCTTTCCTCATCATGTCTTCTTGGCACATGGATTTATTTCTGGGTTCTCTATTCTGTTTCATTGGTAAATATGTTTTTTATTCTAATACCAAACTATTTTGACTACTATATCTTTGTACTGTGGTTTGAAATTAAGCAATGTTATACCTCTAGTTTTATTCTTCTTAAAATGGCTTTTGCTATTTAGAGTCTTTTGTGCTTTCACACAAAGTTTATAAATGTTTTTTCTAGTATTGTGAAAAATGCCACTGGAATGCTGATAGACATTGCATTGATTTGGGAAGAATGATATTTGCAATATTAATTATTCCAGTGCGTCAACATGAGATATCTATTTATTTGTGTCTTCTTCAATTTCTTTCATCAGTGGCTTATCATTTTCAGTGTACAGATCTTTCGCTTCCTTGGTTGAGTTTATTCCAAGGTATGCTTGTTTCGATGCTTTCTTCATTTCCTTTTCATATAGCTGATTGTTAGTGCAAAGAAACAGAACTGATGCTTTAATATTGATTTTGTATTATACAACTTTACTGAATTTGCTTATTAGTTCCAACAGATTTTTAGTGGTATCTTCAGGGCAGTCTGTATATAAGAATAAGATAAGACAGCTTTGCTTTTTATTTTCCAGTGTGAATGCCTTTTATTTCCTTCTCTTGCCTAATTGCTCTGGCTAGGACTTCCAATACTAGGTTGAATAGAAGTGGTTAGAGTGGGCTCCCTTGTCTTATTTACCCATCAACAACTCGCCAGTGAACAGGATGTTAACTGTGGGCTTGTTATATATGGGCTGGATCATTCCTTCTATACCCAGTTGGTTCAGAGTGTTTTTCAGGAAAGGATGTTGAGTTCTGTCTAATGCTTTTTCTGCACTGATTTGATGATTGTATGATTTTTATCCTTCGTTCTGTTAAGGTGAGGTATATGAACATATATTTATACACTGATTTGTACGTACTGAACCATTCTTGCATATCAGGGGTAAGTCCCACTTTATTATGGTATATGATACTTTTAATGTGGTATCAT